TTCTTCTTCTTCTTCTTCTTCTTCTTCTTCTTCTTCTTCATTGTCCCGTGTTTCCAGTCATCGTTGCTACAACTGTATACAAAGATTTCCGTGCGTGATTGAAGAGCGTGAGGGGGACTTACCGTGCTCAAGTCGCCACCGTCCTCTACCTTGTTGTTGTTGTTGTTGTTGTTGTTGTTGTTGTTGTTGTTGTTGTTGTTGTTGTTGTTGTTGTTGTTGTTGTTGTTGTTGTTGTTGTTGTTGTTGTTGTTGTTGTTGTTGTTGTTGTTGTTGTTGTTATTGCTGCCGCCCTCCTTGGGCGCCGCTGCAGGGGGTGGTGGCGTCGAAGCCGCCGCGCGACCGAAGCCGCGGAAGCCCATGCTCGGGAGGCGCGCCATCGGGTTGAAGCTGCTGCCGAGGCTGCGCACCTGGTCCAGCATGGCAGCACCCTGCTGCTGCGCGACGCCTGCCACCGTCGTCGTCGTCGTCGTCGTCGTGGTAGTGGCTGTCAGTGGCGACAGGGGCGGTGCGCCGTTGCTGCTTGCGAATTCCACCTTTTTCAGGGAGCTCGCGGTGCTGCGGCGGCTACGCGTGCTGTCTGCGCTGGGATCACGGCGGCCGCCGATGAGGGTCAGGACCGCCGAGTCGCGGCCATGCGGCGCTGGGACGACGGCGCCGGCGCCGGCGCCGTCCTCTGCGATGGTGTCGACACTGGCAGCATCGTCGTCGTCGCCGAGCGGCGGGGTGCTGACGAGCTTTCGGGCGTCGTCCAGGGTGCGCGGCACGACGATGGACTCCTTGGGCGCGGCCTGCTGGCGCTCGCGCAACTTGCCGACGAGAAACGAGTAGCTCTCGCCGAGGCTGTTTGAGATTGTCTGCAGACCCTGGTCAGCGGTGCTGAGAACGGCGCCGCTAGCAACGCCAAAAGCCTGCGCGGGCGTGTTGACGAGGTCACTGAGGCGGCGGTTGCGCAGCACCGTGGCGGGCTTGAGTCCCCCGGAGGATGTGATGGGCTTGGTGGCGGTGGCGGTTTCTTTGCTAGTCTCAGTGGTTCCTTGTGTGTAGGCTGGCGGGAACGTTTCCGGTCTGTTGGCGGTTTCGCCGGCAGCGGCGGCGGCGGCGGCGGCGGCCTTGGGCGGGCCCGAGGGGTGCTCGTCTTCGCGGAGGGTCGAAAGGTCGACAGTCTCGAGGAAGCTGATGGCGGCCTCAAAATTTGTCAGGCAGTAAGCGGCCTCACCGGTGAGCTTGGGCTCCCAGCGGAAGCGCTGCATGAAGTGGAGGTCGCTGATGGCGTGCAGGTGCGCGGGCGGGAGCGTGATGAGCGTGTAGATGAGCATGGGCATGATCTCGTCGGCCGACGCCGAGGGCTGGAAGCGCGACAGCGTGTCGACGATGCTCTTGTGTACGGCTTTGAGGTGGTTAATCTTGCCGAGGGGGTAGTGCGAGTCGCTCATGGCGACGAGCTCCCGGCGCGCGGGCTCGAGCGACGCGCGAATCTCCTCGTCGCGAGACGTCGGCGCGGACCCGTCTTTGGTGTCGTCGCTGTCATCTTGGCCGAGGTCGATGCCGAGATCCGTCAGACCAATGTTGACGAGCGCCAGCGCGGCCGTCTTGGACCGCAGCTTGTCGTCTTGCGCCTCGTCTTGAGTGCTCCGGTGGCGGTATATCCGGCCGTAGATGGCCTCGCACAGGCGCCGCTCGGCGGCCTCCTCAATACGACCCTTTTTCGCCTCGAGTGCCTTGCGTGCCCTTTTCCGGTCCGCGAGCTCGTCGGGGGTAATCATTTGCTGCTCGGCCTCGGCCTTGAGGTGCTTGCTGTCCTTGGACTTGAGCGATGCGGTGCGGGCGCGTAACCGGCTGGCGGCAGAGGATATCGAAGAGGGAGAGGGGCTCGGCGAGGGGCCACGACGCTGCCGCGTTGCCAGCGCGCTAATGTGAGTCTGGACGTGAGAGGAAGCTAGGGCGTAGAAGTCTTGGAAGAGCTGGGACAGCTTGTCTATATTGGGTGGTGTGGAATGAACCTTGGCACTCAGCGATTCAATGAAGCTGCGAGGAACGTATGGTTAGTCTTGGGTTGGTCAGCTCGTGCAAGTCGCTCCGGGCGAGGCTTCTACCTGTCTGTAAGGGAAACGAGCTCGATGGGCAGCTCGTCGAGGTCGACGGAGTTTCTGCCCGTGTCAGCCGCCTCGTCGTGGTCGTCTGCATCCTCGGACGTCTCAAACGCATCGGGCCGCTGGGTGGCGCCGTCATTGTGAAAGGTGTGGGCGCGCTTCGGCAGCTGTGTACTCGCGCTCGTCTGGCGGCTCTGTGATGCATCGTGCGAGTTGATCCGGGCGGCGGCCGGCTTGCTGGAGGAGACTGGGCGGTCGGAGCTAGCAGTTGAAGCCATCGCCGCGCGTCAATCGGAGGAGGGTGGATGTCGCTGCGGATTGCCCGGGGGGCGCCCAGGTCGTTTGTTATCTCGGGGGCAACGGGGGACGCTGCTGTGTTGGCAGACTGCTTCCACGCGTGCTGGTGGTAATCGTGAAGAGGTGAATCGTCGTGGTGTGATGAGTAAAGAGTTAGGTGAGCAGTCGCAGGGAGACGGAGCCACGGCACGCGACTTTGGGCGGCGGCCTGCTGGCTGGCGCAGCTGTCGCAGACTTGCGTCAGAAGTCGTGTCCGCGGTGGGGATGGGTAATGAGTAAGGTGCTAGGAAAACAGAAAATGAACTTTCTTCTTTGCAGAGACCTATGCTTTTTTTTTTTCTTCTTGTTTTTCTATTTGATTCTTGATTTATCTGGTTTAATAGATCGGAGATCAAGTTAAAGGGAGTGAGTGACATGAAGCTACACAAAATACGTGGTAAACTCACCTCAAGATTGTGGGTTGGCTTCTGTAATGCGCTAGTTACTGGGATCCGGGGTGCTACAGTACGCTAATGATGACGCTAGCGCGCCATGCCCAAGATGTAGCAACAAAAGAGGCTGACCGGACAGATATAGAAACTGGGAAAAATTAGTCACGATAAACATCTAGAGCATAAGATCTGAAGGAATTCTGGGATACTGAAGCGGATCTTTATTAGTCACCGAAATGGCTGCTTGCGTCTTTGGCGGCGCTCTGGCGGCTCTCTAGCTCTACCAGTAATTACAAGTGGTGATGATGGCATCTGCAAACAGACGAGCCGAAAAATACCAGCACAAAATGAGTCAAAAACACGTCCTCAAAACTTGAATTGATTCCAAACGAGTAGCTACAAGATACAAACCCACCTCAAGCATCATGACTACAAAATGACTGTACAAGTGCGGCAAAACGCCCAGTCCCCTTTCTAATCAGACTTGCGGCCATTCCTCGCCCACTCGCGCAAGTCATTCTTCTTAATCTTGCCCGTGCTCGTCTTTGGCAGGTCCGGCACCACCTCGACCTCCTTGGGCACCATGAAGCGGCTAATGGCGGCGTTTCCGCGGGCCCAGGCAATTAGATCCGCGCCCTGCATCGACCTGCCCTCGCGGACGGTAATGTACGCCTTGGGCACCTCGCCCCATTGCGCGCTGGGCACGGCCACGACGCCGCACTCGAGCACGTCGGGATGCTGCACCAGCATGCTCTCGAGCGCCACCGAGGAAATGTTCTCGCCGCCCGAGATGATGATGTCCTTGGCGCGGTCGAGGATCTGCGCGCTGCCATCGGGGTGCCAGACGGCGAGGTCGCCCGAGTGAAGGGCGCCGCCGGCAAAGAGCTTCTTGGTCGCGGCGGCGTCCTTGTAGTACTCCTTGGCGCAAATGTTGCCGAAAAAGACAATTTCGCCGATTTCTTTGCCGTCCTTGGCCACGTCGATGAGTACGTCCTCGGGCTGGTCCGGCTTGATGATGCGGATGGGTAGGCTGGTGATGAAGCCGTGCCCTTGACGTGCCATCTTGGCGTACTTTTCTGCTGGTGGAAGATTGTCCCATTCAGGCAACGTATAGCACTTGGTGATTGGGCCATACGTTTCTTTTTTTTTTTTTTCGGGTCAGTAAATATGTATCAATGCCGGTAGTGAGCAGCGGCCAGCCAGACTTACCAGTCATTCCGTAAACATGTACAGGTATAAGGTTCAGGTCGGTCTGCCCAACCCAGTCAGTTATACGATTTGACCCTTTTCGCTTCCCATCTCGCAACGTACCATTTGCTCAAACAAGTGGCCAGTGGGTGGACTAGCCGCAACAGTTACTCGAACTGGTTGCGGCAGCTTGGCGGCCTCCTTAGCAGCCACCAACAACGTGTTGACAGTCGGGGCCGCATTGAAGTGAGTGACGCCCTCGTCCTTGAGAAGCCGCCAGATGATGGGATAATCAATCTTGCGCAAGCAGACATTGACGCCTCGCACCGCGACAACAGACCAGGGAAACGTCCATCCGCAAGCATGAAACCTAGTTTCAGTCAGTACGCGCGCCCGCGCAGCTGAGCTACTTGAAACCCAAACGGGTGTCGACTTACATGGGCAGCGTCCACAGGTATTTGCAGCGGCCCTGGTTCAGACCAGACTCGATGATGTTTGCGACGGCGGCGAGGTAGGCACCCCGGTGAGTATAGACGACGCCTTTGGGCTTGGACGTCGTTCCAGAGGTAAAGGGGATGGCCAGCATGTCATCTTCATTTTCTGCGTGTGCGTGAAGGCCAGCCCAGCCTTTTGCGCCTTGCTCGGCATCGTAGGCAAGACCTTCCATGACAGCTTGGTTGTATTGACCTGCTTGCGGGCCGGTAATGACGTCGGTATCCTGTAGCCCTGGTCGTTAGCCTGAGCAAAAACGCATCCCAGGTAGCCCTCTTTTTTTTCCCTCTTACATTATCCACAATGATTGGAACTTTGCTGTGCTTGGATCTGTAGGCACTTAAAAGATCCTCAAACTCCTTGTCCACAATGATGGAGTCCACCTCGGCAAACTCAAAGACGTAGGCAATGTCATCGGGCTTGAGGCGGTAGTTTGCGGGAACAATGACGCCGCCGGCTGCCACGATGCCGTACAGCGACTCCAGAAACGCGGGCGTGTTGGGGGCGAGGATGCCGACTCGTTTCAGGCCGTGCTTCTTGAGGTGATAGGCCAGACCGCGGGCGCGATCGGCCGTCTGCTGGTAAGAGCGGCGGATGCTGACGCCGTTGGCGGTGATGTGGACGACGGCGTCAGCATTGGGCTCAATGGAAGCGGCGCGCTCCAGGAAAATCGTCGGCGACAGGTGGTGGATATGCGCCGGAGGCGGCGCGGCGGGCAAGAGATGGTTGAGGATGGACCGGATGCGCGACGGAGGGCCGGACATTGCGGCAGCGGGAAGCTCGTGGGCGTCTTTGAAGGGCTAGCTTGGAGAGAGAGAGAGAGACGGAGGCAGGCCGCTGCGAAATTCAAAGTAGTAAGAAGGTGAAGTGGTGGATTGGGAAGAGCAGTGTAGGGGTAAGTAGAGAAAACAGTTGCAAACGGGAAATGTGCAGGGGGCATGAGATGTATGTAAGACACGGCCGACCGGAGATTCAGAGTGCTAGCTCACGGCGGAGCCCGTGGAATTCGGCTCTTGTCGGCAGTGGAGGGCCGGCCAGCCAGCTCGCAAGCTTGGACGAGACGACAGTGGCAACCAACCAAAGGGCCCTGGAAAGCAAAGGCAAAACGAGGTGCTCAAGCCCGCGGTGTTGAGCTGGCAGACACCGGTGCCAGGGTGCGGAACAAAGCGGGGAGCTGGGTATTTCCAGCGCTCTCAGTGGCTTATCTAGGTATTCATTATAGTGGCCTCACTGGTAAGTGGGTGTTTTTGGCGGTCTGCTAGTGGCTGTTGGGCCCTGTAAAATCCCCCCCCAGCCTTGGCTTTACCCCAGATCCTTCCGCTTCCGCATCTCTGCCGCAACAGAGGATTTCGTCGACATGAAGCATGAAGCATGCTAAAGACTTGACAACAAGAGACGAAAATGAAAAAAAGAGAGGGCTAGTTATTTGATGCTCCCTCATTTCTACTTGCTTGTCTCGACTTGACAAGACCAGGTATGTATAATATTTCGCATTCGCCTTGTGCAAGGTAAAGATCAGCCTCGGCTATCGAACAAGGAAGGCACTTCGTTGCTTTTCTAAAAAATCGACGCGTAGTCTAATAAAAAAAAATCCAACAAACATATCCAAATGTCATTTTTCAAGAAGCCGTACAGGTATGGAAATCGACACGACAAAATCAAACTACAAAGATACTACGACTTTGTGTTGTAGTTTAGTGGAACTGATCCTCAGTGACACCCTTGCCCATGGCCGAGGTGGAGCTGACGCCGCCGGTAATCATTTTTTGCAGCTCGTCGACATAGTTTGCGCCGGACCATTTCTGATGCTTGACGACGTCGACGCCGAGCTCCATCTCGGGCTCCTGGACGAGCTCGCCGTAGGCGCGCATACCCTGCTTGGCGTAGGCCTTGGCGAAGCTGTCGCTAATCAGGGCAGTCGTGTGAAGGCCAGCGAGGGTGATGAACTGCCAGCAGTAGCCGAGGCTAGCGAGACGCTTAATGTAAGTCTCCTGCTCGTCGCGGGGCATGGCCGTCTTCCAGTTGAACGAAGGAGAGAGGTTGTAAGAGAGCCTGGTGGGTTGTTGTTAGTTTACATTTGGGGGGATAAAGGGACACGTGGGAATGAGAGCTCACTTTTGGTGAGGGATGGCAGCGTGAACACCATCGGCAAACTCCTTCGCTTGAGCAAAGTCGGGCAGCTTGGACTCCATCCAGACGGCGTCGCAGTAGGGACCATAGGCGATGGCACGGTTGATGGCGCAGTCGCAGCCGCCCTTGAGGCGGTAGTAGCCCTCACGGGTGCGAGGAGCGTCCCAGTTGAAGTAGACGTCGACGCCAGCAAGGCTCTTAGCGAGGGCGCGGGCCTCGCTGTTGGACTTTCCTTTGGCCTGGGCCTGGTACTTGGACTTGAGCTCGGCCTTGTTGGAGAATGCGCCAGCGTCAATGGCGGCGGCGACAGCGTCGTCGAAGCGTGAAAGATTGGCCTTGCTCAGCCATTCGTCCTCAAGCTTCTGAAGCTCGTCGCCCTGCTTGCCGGCGGCCTCGGCGGCGCTCATGAGCTCGTTGAGGGGCTGCAGGTTGGGGTTGGTGCTGCCGAGGATAAAGGCGTGATCGCGGGGGTCGATGGTGGTGGTGATGAGGGTAGCAGCCTCGGCGTCCGTACGGGCGATGGCAATGAGGTCAGAGCCTAGGACATTATTAGCGACTTTTTTTTTTTTTCTCATTTTTTCATTTGTTTTTTCTCGAATGAGATTTGAGATGAGACACGACATGAGACACGACATGAGAAACTCACCCATGATATCGGCCTGGGCACGGATGGCAACCAGACGGCTAATGTGCTCGCTTATGGGGACAAGGACCTTGCCGGCCATGTGGCCGCACTTCTTGGTACCAGGAGCCTGGTCCTCAATGTGAATACCAGCAGCACCCTTCTCAATGAAGAGCTTGGTGAGCTTCATGACGGCGGTGAGACCGCCATGGCCGGTGTCGGCATCAGCAATGATGGGACGGAGGTAGTCAACGTTGGCGAGCTGGGCACGCTGGCTCTTGGGCACACTGAGACGCTCCTGGCGCTGCTTGCGGTCGTGGAAGAGCTGGGCCATGAAAAGGTGGCCGACCTTGTTGGGAACGGTGGTCTAGAAGTCGCATGATACCAGTCAGTTTTGCGATGGTCCAAATATGGCAATGCGACGTGAGGGAGGAATAGAAAGCGCTGCAACAACAATGCCATGCAGCTCAGTCGCATGCAGCGCTGTGCATTTGATGATGCTAGGGTGTCTTGGCATGTGATAATATCGTGGTAGCCAAGCCCACTCTGTGGAGGGGCACCTTATTAAGGTGTGGAAAAGGTTATGGAGATTGTAAGCGGCTAGGCCGAGGGGGGTTATCTCACGTAAGGGTAATCAGCCAGATCAGGGCCGGGCTCGTCAGAGGCCGAAGCGGTGGAAGATGATTGCCATCCAGAAACGTAGACTGTGTCGAGGTATTTGGCCATCTGGGTGAGCATAGTAGGCTCGAGACAGCCGTAGGTGAAGGAGGCATCCTTGGTCTGATTTTGGAGAGGTTAGCGTGGGGTCGAGGCGTAGGTGGTAAACTGGCAGCCGGCTCTCAGAAAAAAGGCGTTGCCAGGCATTAAAGAAGCCAATTGACTTGAACGCTGCCATGAAAAGCCTAAAAGTTTGTATGCGCGTACCTCGAAACGGCCCTCGAGAATCTTCCAAAGCTTCTTGGATTGGGTATTGCTGGGGTACTCAATCTTCAGGTGGCCGCGCTTGGAGACAATCTGCTCGGCAGTAAAGGGACGCTTGGTGTGCTTCCAGCGTGAGTCGTTCCACCAGGACTTGACCTGGGCAACCTCCTGGGCAAAGAGCTCGTCCTCGGTGTCGGGGTTGATGGCCGGGTTGATCATGTTGTTGGAAGCCATGGTGGCGGGTAGGTGTGGTTTAGCCGAGGTGTAGTTGTATGGTGGGATGTTCGTCGTACAGCTGGCGAGCGAGCTGTAGAGGGAAGACGGGGAGGAGAGAGGAAGTAGAAAAAAGTCGCAAAGACTCGGGGACGATAAATCGAAGGATTATGGATGTAGGAGAAGAAAAAGAAGGAGGAAGAAGATGGTGGCCCGAGGTCAATGCCGAGAGATATTTAGAGTCGAGGCCGGGCCGTCAGTCAGTCATTACACATGGCGGGTGTAGGCCGTAACTTGGTGGCGCCCAGACCCGGTCGGCCGGTTGGTTTGTATTTGCTCGTGCCAGGTGCTGCCATTTGCGGGCAAGCGGGTCCTTGGCAGTTGGCAGTTGGCAGCTCCGTCCGTTTGCTGCGTTTGCACCAGGTTTACAGGGGACTTTCTCACTCCTTGGTGCAAGGCACAAGGCACTTACAGCACTTGCAGCCCCCGTGAATCAAGGTATTATAAAGACGCTGTAAAAGTAGTGAGTACCATGGCCTCTGTCCATCAACTACTACCAAGATACCTGGCTGAGCCAAACTATTACTATCCCAGGCCATGTACATCACATCATACTGTAAGCCCCATCCTCCACTATGTGTAGCTCAACCCAGTCAAGAAGATAATACTGCATGCCCATACTGAGGGGATGCCTACGGGCTACCTAGAATCAGCCTAAGAGGCTCGGAGCATGGGCGGGTTTCCGCTCGTATGGCCGGGGCAAGGGTGGGAGTCAGAGGTCTCTGTTGTATTCGTCTGTTCCGATTTCATCGTCATTGGGAGTAAAAGAGAGCAGTGCATTCTAAACACTCCGACTGTCGCCTGGTACGCTGGGGTCTCGGCTCAATGGGGCGACCGGAAGTTGGAGAAGAAAAGCACATGCTCAAGGGGAAGAGGATGATGAGTTATAGCGCCCAACAGCACCAATGGCTTCTGGTTTAAGAAAATTACAGAGGGCAATTGGCACCTTTTTGGGTCCCTGCAAGCCTGTCCCCTTGCATCGCCCACTGGAGCGACGTCGATGGTGGGGTTCCTCGACTGGTGGGTACCGCAGTCGATATTCCAGCCAATCATGGCCGTTGCAAAAGGCATTTTCTCTGGCACGCTGGAGCTCCGACTGTGGGGCCTAACCCTTTGGCCGAGGTGCCGGGAGGCTGCCCGTGGCAGTGGCGAAGCCGACGCAGTAACTTTGAGTAGAATCTGCAGGTGTACAGTACTGTAATTCCAGTGACTAGTTATTTACGCTTGGGCAATTGCAAATTATCTGACTCACAACTTTGGCAGTTCTACCGATAAGGGTGCAGCTCCGATTCAGCTCCCCCGCGCCATCGACTTTTTGCTGCACAAACCACTGGGTCGCCTACGGTGGTGGCTCCCTCGGAGTCCCTCCAACTCCCCCAACTCCCCCGCAAACCATTCTCAGCCTCATCCTTACAGGGGGTCTTGCAGCGCCTTGATACACTGCAGCCTCGCACTTCGCCCCGAGAGCGAATTGCCAGCATCGAAGAAAAAAAATGAATTTGAAGGAAATCCGGAGGACCTTTTGTATCCTGCCCACCTAACCAACTGCCTGTCAAGGTGCATCTCGGCGTCACGAGTGAACCTCAAAGCCTACTCATGTATAGGGCGCCAAATATAACCTCAAATAATACACCCTCCCTGCATCTGAATCGGCTTCTTCTTAAAACGCCTAGTAACTACCGCATTGTCCTCTTGTTCTCCATCTCGTTCCGTCTTTTTCCCGTGCGCCCGCCGTTTTCCTCCAATTCCCCCAAGAACTAGCGTCCGATTCGCTCCTTTGCACCATCGCCGAATCCACCCCGGAGCCGGGGCCATGCCTTTGCATGTGACGGCACAAGACCATTGCCAGCCGGTACCGTCACGCACATATGTTTATGCGCTTGTCAACTAAACTGCATGTCCGTACTCTCCGTGCCGTTGGTCGGGCGTCGCTAGTGAGAGATGTGCTACATATGCACCCTCGGCATACAAAGCCGAGCGCCCAGCCATAGGTATTTTGTGACGACCAACAGTGTGCGACTCTGAAACAAGATTTGACCCCAATCCGCAGCAGAGGTCAAGTCTCTATATGACTAACTGCGGCGAAGCCGAAATCAAACGGCGACGTAGTCACAATTCCTTACCGTCACTAGCCATCAATAAACACGCTCGTACTGTCTGCTCGATCGCCACATTGTTATTGCAACAGCTCATTCATCATCGCTCGTAAACACGATGTCACGCAAAGAAAGTCGCTCCCTAATAAGCGCGCATTTCACGCCGATTTTACTGGAATCACTGACTTCTGTACTCACGCAAGAACTCATACTGCATTCGCCAACTGCACAACAGCTTCAATTGCACATTGTTAATTGTAGAAAATCGAATCAATCAAGTCCCATGATCTCTGATCAATTCTGTGTCGATTGGTAATAGCCTCAGGCACGTCAGGACGGATTGTCACCAAATGCGCTGGACCAAGCTTCGTGCATCTCCTATATATCCCAGTCAATCTCAAATGGAAACGCCAGCCACTGACTGCTACCAGTCACACCACAGCCACTACCTGTGCGGCTTCGCCAGCTTGATAATATTTTTCGCTTCAGAAATTCGCTCCAAATTGGATGGACAATGCTATTATGTACATCTGATATCCATATCTCGCTTCCTCGATATTTTTATTTCAAACAAACAAGAAATAACGCAAACAACGAGCCCTGTTTTTGCTTTCCTCCTCTCCTCGTATAATCAGAATAAACCATCCTCTTCCGACTCAGGAAGACGAGCTCACGCGTGGCGCTATATGCTAACAGAAGGCACGAAGCCAGAGGAACAGTCCCCCGTAATCACGACATATATCATTAGCGTAGCCAGCACAGCCAGATAGTTCTTTTTAATCAATACAACCTCTTCCCTCTCATCCCGTTTCTGACAGTATGTCATCACCATAGTATGAGTCCGATTCATCGTCGTTGTTAGCGTTTGGTAGTGCAGTTTCCGTCAGCGGCACGGGGCAGAAGCCCGGCCTCTGCGCGTGGCCAGACTCCTCGTCACCGCAAGACGGATGCATAGTGATGCTGATAATGCTAGAGAATATTTATACCTTCGTCGGTGGGGAAAGCGGGCATGCCCGGGCGGGTGGGGGCTTGAAGGAGGCGGCGTAAACGGCGCGGGGCCGGGTGAGGTAACGGAGCGTGTTCGGGTGCTCGAGGTGGCTGTTTAAGTATGAGTCTTGCTAATCGGACCTTGTGATTTTACTTGGAAACTTACCACGTGCGGGCTCTTGTCTGATGGCCGTGATGTTCTTTTGACGGCCGTGATTTTCTGATGGCCATGATGTTCTTTTGATGGCCGCACGATCTTTTTGTGCCAATTTGTTAGGCAGAGGTGAGGGTGTTGTATTGTGGAAGTGAGTGCCATTTGTAACCGGCAGCTAGCCAGTTAGTCGCCGGCTAATCAGCAGCTTGTATATCTAAATGACTACTCGACTGGCTGTTGATTCAATGGCTACGGAAGTATTACCTGTAGCCAAGGACCTGCAACTAAGCTGCCGCTCTCGGCCCCGCTCGGACTCGGGACTTGAGGTTTACTGCAACCCTCTCGACTTTACCACACCTCCGCGACCACCTAATAATCGTCACCCCCATCGTCTCCGTCGTGCTGGGCTCGTAGACGACCCTCGGCAGCGTCGATGCCACGCGAAACATGTACTCATGCTCGTAGTTCTCTGACTTCTCCGCGCTGTTATTGCTGCTGCCGTCTAGCACCCTACCCTACCCAGTATCACACTCCACAGACGCGAAGAGCTCTTCGACTGGCGTGTCCTGCGCGAACCGCCTCGTGGTACGCCCCCCCTCCCCCCACGTCTCAGGCATCGTATCTTAAGTGCCACGTGCACAACCTCCTTGTCGCTCGCCGGCGGCTCCAGTCGGATGCGCGCTGCCCGCCAGGCCCGCCACTATTCGCCCTTTTCCGCACGCCGAGCGGCGGCATGTGCTTGCTTCACCAGTGCATACTTCTCCGCCGCTGCCGCTCCGGCCGCCGCCGCCTCCTTTTCGCGCACGCGCTCGCTGTCAGGGGAGAGAGGAGAATGATGATGTATTGTGTAGGTTGTGGGCCGAGCGACAGGCACACCTACACTCGCGGTCTGTCGTACGGGGCTCGCTGTTGTCTTGTCTTACACCAACCTCTTCATATCCTGCCTCCGCATTCCACTTCTGCATCCGACATCGCTTACCAAGTACGCCTGCCGTATTCCTAGCGTCAGATGGCGTCAGATAGCGCCGACTCGGCTACCAGACCACCTCCTTCTTTTGTTGAGAACTTCTCATCAAGTTTCGCCATCATCCCGTCTTTTTTGCACACTAAAGTTACCTGGTCCCCTCGGCCGCTCAACCTCCACATTAGAGCTGTGAAACCCACTCCTGGCGCCCCGCTACTGTCAGTAATTAAAGCTACGCGACTGTCGAATCTAGATTCTGCAAAAAACCATCACGGCTTGCTGGTAGCTTTATCCATCATCACAAGCAAACTGCACAGAATTGCCCAGTCCCTCCTCTCTCGAGACCTCTCTCGAGGCCAATCCATCTTGTCTGCAGTTAGACGTACAATCGGACATTGTTATTCATCACCCCGCCACTTAGTCCATCGCCCCGCCGACACCGCTACTCGCAGAGCAAACAGCCATTTCAACAATGAGTGATTCTACCGCGCCCTCGGCGCATCGCCCTCGAGGCTCCGAGGATTTTGGTGTCTTTGATGATGCCAAAACCTATTATGCCTCTGATGAACGACACACTGGCCGATTCGCGAACCGGACTCGCACCTACTCACAGGTAAGCAGCATTCAACGTCATGGTGACGGCGGAGTTAACACAAATCCAGAGCAGTTTGATCAAACAAATCGAGCGGTTGAACCTACCCGAGCCTTTTCGTCGTGGAAGTCACGGTATGTTATCAAAAAAAGAGCCTCCGATTCAGGTGCTGACACTGCTAGATGAGAGCAACCTGGAGCAAGGCCGCCGCTTCCTCATTCAAGTTGACGCGACCCTGGAGAGTTTGAAAGCACAAGAAGATACCGATGGCAATATGCAAATCACAATCGAGGATTCCGGTCCCAAAGTTCTTCCTCTACGGACAGCCGCTTCGGCTGGTTACCACAGATTCGAAGTCCGTGGCACTTATATGCTGTCCAACCTACTGCAGGAGTTGACTCTGGCCAAAGAGTACGGCCGCAAGCAAATCATCCTCGATGAAGCCCGACTCAACGAAAATCCTGTTAACCGCCTTTCTCGTCTCATCAAAGATCATTTTTGGGACGGCTTGACAAGGCGTATTGATGCTTCTAGCATCGAAATTGCTGCTCGCGACCCCAAAGACTGGACCGATGATCCTCGACCCCGAATCTATATACCCTCCAAGTGCACTGCTCAATTCGAGTACTATAAACAGGTGGCCCTTGACCGCCCGGAGATTCGACTCGATGTGCAATTACTCCCCGAAGTGATTACCCCGGAGATTATTCGCGACATGAACGAGAAACCTGGTCTCCTTGCTGTTGCCGTCGAAGAGGTTGAGGAGCAAGATCCTGTCAAGGGCACCATCAAGACCCTTCGTGGACTCCCCTTTGTTGTGCCTGGTGGCCGATTCAACGAGTTGTACGGGTGGGATAGCTACATGGAGTCCCTTGGTTTGTTGGTCAACGACCGTGTTGACTTGGCCAAGGCAATGGTGCTCAACTTTTGCTTTTGCATTGAGCACTACGGCAAGATTCTCAACGCCACGCGCTCATACTATCTTGGGCGCTCACAACCTCCTTTCCTCACCGACATGGCTCTCCGAGTATATGAAAAGATCAAGCACGAGCCCGATGCACTCGAGTTTTTGCGTCGCTCCATTCTTGCCGCCATCAAAGAGTATCACAGTGTCTGGACTGGACAAGCTCGTCTGGATCCTACGACTGGTTTATCGAGATACTGCCCTGAAGGTCTGGGCGTTCCTCCCGAAACCGAGCCTAGTCACTTTGTCCACATCCTGCAGCCGTACATCAAGAAGCATGGCATGGAGTTTGACGAGTTTGTTCGCGCGTACAACCATGGCGAGATCAAGGAGCCTGAACTGGACAATTATTTCATGCACGACCGTGCCGTGCGAGAGTCGGGCCACGACACTAGCTATCGCTTCGAGGGAGTTTGCGCGAACCTAGCAACCATCGATCTCAACTCACTTCTCTTCAAATATGAGACAGACATCTCTCGAACTATCCGCAGTTTATTTGATGACAAGCTAGTCATGCCTGAAGAATTTTGCCAAGGTACCCCTTATAAGCCTGGTGATATTCTCACATCTGCCTTGTGGGACCGCAAGGCCAAGAGACGCAAGCTTACCATGGACAAGCTGATGTGGAATGAAGAAGAGGGCATGTTTTTTGACTACGACTTTGTCAATAAGAAGCGCTGTACCTATGAGACTGCTACAACACTGTGGTCGCTGTGGGCCGGTCTCGCCTCACCAAAGCAAGCAGCGGATATCGTGAAAAAGGGCCTTCCAAAATTTGAAGAATTCGGTGGCCTGCTTGCCGGTACTGAAAGCTCGCGTGGTGAAATCGGTCTGGAGCGCCCTAACCGACAGTGGGATTACCCATACGGCTGGGCACCGCAGCAGATGCTGGCTTGGACGGGTCTGCTCCGCTACAGCTTCAACGAAGAGGCCGAGCGACTGGCCTACAAGTGGCTTTTTATGATTACCAAGGCCTTTGTCGATTTCAACGGTGTAGTTGTCGAAAAGTACGACGTGACGCGTCCCATTGACCCTCACCGCGTGGATGCCGAGTACGGCAACCAGGGTCTGAACTTCAAGGGCGTCGCCAAAGAAGGGTAGGCTTTCGTTACTCAAAGAGTTCTTCTTGACCGTGCAACGCTAATATGTTATAGGTTCGGCTGGGTGAATGCGAGCTACGTGTACGGTCTGCAGATTGTGAATGCGCACATGCGCCGCGCGCTGGGCACGTTGACGCCGTACCCCACGTTTATCAAGGCCATTGAGCAGCTGAATGAAAAGGCTCTTGCCGATCTTGAGTAGAGGGGCGTGGACTTTTGCATCCCGTAGACCAAGTATATATAGCGTAATGATGGTTCCTCTTACTGTTTCTTTATATCTTCCATTATTATCCCCCAATGGTTCCTGCTAAGCGTAGTTCTCAAGAACTTATCTGTCAATACTGGTATTGTTTGCGTCGTCGGTGTTGTACAATGATCTCATCGCTGCTAAACCACGAGGTAGTTGGTATCGCCCACAGTCTCCCTAGCCCTCATCTTTTCCTCTTCGGGGGGGGGGGGGGGGGGGGACGCTCTCCTCCGGCAGCACACCGAAATGTGTTGATGTCGCCGCGACATGTGCTTCTTGTAGGACGCCCACGGATCTCTGGGCAAGGTAGAGCGCGGTCAGGCTGAGAAACACGTCGGGCTGTTTCTTCTAGTATTTGATCCTGGCAGCAAAGATTTGTATATTGTGTTTTAGCGTGGCTTTGATATCAAATCGAATGGTCTCGTCGTCGCTGATGAGCGCAACAAAATGAAACTTCGCTCGGTAAAAAGTATTGGGGAGTAATTTGATGAGCTTTCTAGTGCTATCCTAGTCAAGCCACCGAAACATTCTGGCTACACGCCGTCTATGCTACTACAGACCTTGCGGATGTGTGCACGGCGGCGTCCGACCCCCTATAGGTTCATGTCTGATTCCCACGGTCAAGTCAGCTCAATGGAACAAACAAAGGGATTTCAAGCAGTCGATAAAAGTACTTGGCATGTGCCCCCGCATGTCACTCATCGGAGCGTACTGCAGCAATCAGCTCAGCCCTCCGCCTCGCCACCGTCCGCGCATTCCACGTCCCCGCAAAGACATCATCGCACTCGTCGTCATCCTCCGAGTCAAACGAGACTCTGTCGCTGCTCATGCGGCGACGCGTCCCATACGGTCCTCCGTCCACCACCACCAACGCGCCCGACGCGCCGTCGTCCCCGTCCTCGTCGCCCCAGCTGCGATGTGTCGTGACGCGCTCCGTCTCGAGAATGTACTTGCCGACCTTGTACTTTTGCGACTTTTCCTTGGCGTCGACGTACTTCCAGCCCAACTTTCTGGAGCAGCTGCTGCAGGAAATGTCGGCGACGACGTGCCAGCCCGTGACGAGCTGCCTGTTTTCCAGGCGGCCGATGCGAATGTTGAGCAGCGGCGGCGAGCCCGAGTCGGAATCATAGTCGTCTTCTTCTGCGGTCGAGGTGGCAGGTGGCGGCGGCGCGACGAGAAGAGCGCGGCCGTAGCGGCCGGTGAAGCCCTTGGAGATGATTTGCGCCGTGAGGGCTAGGTCTGCCGAGCAGGCGCTGCAGCGGAGCGTATCTGGACCGAGGCGCTGGAGCCGGCCGGCGCCAGCAGGAGACGAGGTGGATTTGGTCGATGATGATGGGTGGGAGGCTGAAGAGGAGGAGGAGGAGGCGGAGACGCGGCGGCGCAGAAAGGGAAACTTGAAGCTGGGTAGTAGGTAGGTGGGAAAGATGGGCGGGGTGGCGGAGATGCGGTGGCTGCCACGGGTCGTGTCTGACGTTGACCGGTTATGCATCTTCTATGCAGGGACGTATATGAATATATTATTTGAATATGCGGCCGGAACGGCGCGAGGTCAGGTATGTAAACGGACTGGAAATGGTCGGCGCAAAGTACCGCAATCGGATCGCAACGGCAAGTGGCGAGAGAGACGAGAGACCAGAGCCGAGGTCGACGGCTTGTACGGAGTATGCGGGGTCCAGGCGATGCGTTTGCGACGACGAAGAGCCGTTTGATGACAATACTTTGAGGGTGGAGGGCGGTTTAATGATGAAGAGATGTGATACGAGAAGAAAGTCAGCAGCGGTGAGATTCGGACGTGAGTGCGTCTGATCTCGAGCGGGCCACAATGCAACCCCGGCATTTGGGTCCAGTCAGCCCCACTCCGAGGTCAAGGGACCAAATCGCCAAATCGTTTGCGCCACGAGACCCAAGCACCAAGGGCCCTTTTTACAAAGCGTCTTTGCAAAGCTGGCAGCACATGGACAACTCTTGTGGGATCGCCCAACCTGGATTACGAAGCTGACTATGTTATATCTACCCGAATATTGCTTCCTCTGTGTCTCGCACTATCGACTATGTACATGCGGGATCCCGGAAGTTAGAGGCAGTTGCAGGCATCCCCCACAAGCCCCCAAGACCCCTGCTCCACAGGGACACACACAGTGTCTATCAAGCTAAACACTGTGTTAGTTCGCACTGTACGGATATGGGCTCGCGACATCGGCCCTACGATACCGAGCATTCTGAGTGATGGCTACAATATCAACATGACAAGCAAATAATTACCTCAACTTCATGCACTTTGGAGGATACAGCTGATACGTCATTCAAGGGCGGTCCAACTCTTACCAAAACACGTCATGGTGCTTTGCCGACTGCTACCTTGTGCGCTGACTCGTGCTCGTGCGCCTACAAAATGAGTGTTGTACTGGTAGGCACCGCTCGCTTTTCGCTATCAACTTGGCTTATGCCGTCTCTGGGCACATTGAAAGCCCCGAGCTGTTTTACATACAATCTTCTTGAGATAGATGTGTTGGGGCGAATTGCAACCGCGCCCCCTCAAAACCAAGGAATCGGAATTAGAATTGGTGTCCGCAAAGATGGAGGAGGCCCATGCGTCCCGCAGGCTATCCGTCTTGTCGGGCTCAACCACTTATTCAAGACCTTGTTCGAGAGAAGAAGAAAAAAGAGGAAGCGCACTGGCCTTGAAAGAGAGACCGAGAAATGCCCAGGCGGCTCGGCAATCAGACCTGCATCATTACGACGCTGCCACGGCTCACGGCATCAGCATCGTGCACGGTCACGCCCCAACCGAGATGCGCCCACAGGTCTGAGGACCCGGCCAACCGGCCAACTGACCTTATCGCAACTGCTAACTAATACATAGCCGCCAATGCGTAGTTGTGAGACATGCGGTCTGGGGGAGTTATTGGCACCTGATTTCGCCAATCTGTCTTGGACACATCATGTATGTAGTTGCCAATGTAGTAAGTAATGTCTCATTTCAGTATGTAAATGCTTAATCAAATGCTGCTCGCTACCCAGACACACAACGCCAAAGAAAGAAATATATGCCAATCCCCTATCCGTAGATAGTCTCAGGGGGAAAAAAAGAAAAATCGTACACGCAGTGACTACCAACCCGAACTCAGGCCAGTGGTGGTGACGCTATTCATCACCGCCGCTGGGCCACTGCAGATGGGGAGTTGTATTGACGACTCCACAATATCGGGCTTCAGAACGGGGCCCGGCGCAGCGACTGCAACCTCATCTAGCCTCCTGTGACGTACTTGTCGCGAGCCGCATTGCCTCCCCTTGGACCGAAAACAGCCAAAATGTTTTCGGCTCAGACGGCTTCGTTGGCTCGGAGAAAAGCCTCGTCCCGGTAAGCCCCCCTAGTTGACGAGCTGCACCATCATTCTGGCGAGGCTGTCGTGCTTGTAGCGAGAGGCCACCGTCACGGGCGTATCGCCATACTGGTCCGGGACGGTGAGCATGTCAGGCGCTTGATGTTGGAGCAGTATCCTGACAACCTCATCGGAACCCCCCATGGCTGCAGCGTGCAGGGGTGTGAGGCCTCGCTTGTTGGTGTTGCTCTGGACATCGACGCCGTTCTGCAACATCCAACGCACCACATCAACGCTGCCGTCCTGGCAAGCGAGAAGGAGAGGCGTAAAGTCGTTATACTCGGCCGCCAGGTCAGCACCGCTGTCAACAAGCAGCTTTATCATGTCGAGCGAGCCCGTCAAAATAGCAGTGTGTAGCGGGGTCTCGCCTGTCAGCGGTCGCGGCAGCGATGGGTTTGCGCCGTGCTGAAGCAGCAGCTGGGCAATCTCGACACGGCCATTCTCAATGACCTCATGCAGCGGCGCACAGCCCATGCGATCCTTGGCGGCATGATCGGCACCATTTTCTAGCAAAGCCTCAACAATTTCGGCGTTGCCGCAGCGGATGGCCATGAAAAGAGGCGTTTCCTTTGCGCGAGTCGTAGCGGAAGAGTTGGCGCCCTGGGCGAGCATGTAGCGGACGAGGTCTGGCCGTTGAAAGTCGTCGGCGCAGGCGAGGTGGAGGGGTGTTCGGCCTTGGTTGTCGGCAATGTGAATATTGGCGCCGAGGTGAAGGATTTGCCAGGTGGCCCAGTCGGAGCCGGCCTTCATGGCCTCGATGAGAGGGCGGGTGTTGTTGCGGCGCATGCGGTTAATGTCAAGGCCAGCCTCTCGCCAGCGCTGTAACGTGCCGCCGTTTTGATGTGTGAGGGCCCAGCGCAAGGCATCTTTTTGGAGGGTAAGCTCGTCGACGGTGTAGAGGTGGTTGACAAGCAAGTTGTAGTAGCTGCGGTTGACTTGGGAGAGAGCATTGATATTGGAGACTTTGGAGAGCTGTGCCACAATCTGGAGCTGCAGCTCTGTTGGTAGGGTGTCGAGGCTCATGGTGTAAGATCAGCTTGAGTATGGATGCAGCGTTGTGTGGTGTAAGTGAGAGGTGTGAAGTCGATTATGGATATCAGTAACCACAAAATACTAAGAAGAGGGGAGAAAGAATAATAGGGTTGCGTGGATGAGTTGAGAACATATATTGGAAGAGGCGGAGGAGGGTGGCCGAGTCTTTATTCACGAGGGAGGCCAGGCTTGTTGCTTGTCCGAGAACGCCAGTTGTTTTGGCCTGGCCGGAGCTTTGGCCGACGGGAGAGTGGCCTTGGACCAAAGGCAAGCCAGGCAGAGCCAGGGCTGCCAGGCTGGGTGACACCTGCCGCTCTACCCGAGCGGAGCCGAAACGCCAGGTGCTGCACAGATGGTGCCAGGTACCTACGTCCACTGAACACCCGCTAAGCACCTACTGAGGACCACTGCAACTTGCCAAGCAGTACCTGCAAACGGGCTGTAATCAACTTGCAAACGGGCTGTTGACAGCAAAACGGCGACCTGCCAGCTGGCTGCCAACTGCCAGCTGGCAATGGCCTGGTTTGGCCTGTGACATCACGCAACGCTGCGACAGGATGCCATTGGCATTGACGACACCACACAACCACCCGCCTCCCGGACCTTTCTTCCCTTCTTCCCGAATCGCTAGCTGCAACTCTTTTTCCCATCTCAGCCATCGCAATACAACCAATCAGTCTATCCGCCCTGCATCCGCGTTGCATTTACCAGTGCCCTCCTTTAGCCACCCAAGAATAGTATCTTGAATTCCGCACTTCCCAATAAGTCTCCACCACAGAGCCCCGAAGGCACTTCACCGCCCACTGCCTCTCGAGAATCACATTCAAGCATCGCTGCCGCGCACGCCGCAGTACCTGGCTAGGGACATGTCATTTGTTCTATCCGTACAGAGACCCTGGCTACTCATCCACTAGACGTTGTGTTGAAACTTGTTGCCTGCACGTCTTCGGACTTTCCACCTCATCTCGGTGTTCCGCCCTGGATCTGGACCCTGGCAGCCTCAAGCCGCGACTCAGACTGGCCCCAAAGAGGAAGCATCCTTTGGTCCGGCCCAGGCCCATCGCTCGCTATTTTACAGCACGAGCCTACTGGCCTAAACAGCTTGGCTTGTGAGCCGCAGCGTTTTTAACGACGGCTCTTTTTCTGGCTTCCGAACGTACCCAAACTCAGACGCACGCATTCTACTAGCATCTGAGCATCTTGGGCTTTACGGCCGAGCCGCATTGCCATTTCGCAGCTTGCAGTAGGGCATTTGTGAAGGCGACCAGGCCACAGAGATGAATGTTGACGTATCGCTTGCTCTGTACAAATTCTCCAGGGTCAAGCCTGAGCTCGGTCGATGTGGCAGCCGAGGCGCTGCCGTCTCGGCGTGGCGCTCCTAAATCATGTACGAGATGCTTCAACATGGCGCAAATCCCCAATCAAACTCCAACTGGTGGCATCATGAGCGCCTCCCCCGCACAACAATAGACATGTCCCATGTGATACTATCAGTATGGTTGCCGCCCCCCTTCCCCCCTGCTATCAATGGCGCGGAATTGCTGCTCATTTCTCAATCGAGCAAGTCTACCATATGCTACTTTCCAACCCAGAGTCAACACTGCACGTGGCATACTCCAGCTGAAGTCGCTGGTCGACTATCACTTCTGCTATTTGACCTGTGAGACCTGCATTATCAACCTGATCATACAGCTGTTGTTGCTGTGTTTCACATTCAAACTTACCCTCGGCTGATTTCCGCCAATGATGCGTCCTTCTGCCTTCCGGACACGGGTTTAAGTTTGCAGCTTCCCCAACTCCAGCCCACGCTTCTCAACCTTGCGCACAACGGACGACGCGCCACCGCCGAAGATGGAGGGTCGTCGTATATCAGCCCCAGCGCACTGGCCAACAAAATGCACATGGATCAAGTCACTCTCGACAGGATTTCAAATTTCATGCTGTCATAAAGGAAAAGTCAAAACTTCAAGTTAAGCTTAACACGTCACTGTGTACAATGTCTATTTCGGGATTACTACGTTGACGGTGTGGTCTTCACTCTCCACATTGCAGATATCCGGCCACTCGGTAACGACCTCTTCACGCTTCTTGGCACTTGCACAGCAGCACAGCCCGCCAGCGGAACCTTGCCCCTCGGTCAGCCACCCAAATCAAGACATGCAGAAATGTTTCTAAAAATTACATGATTATTTCAGTGAGACATCGGTTTGTTATCTGCCACCAAATTAGCACCACGACTTGTCACAGACAACGTGGCCGGTTAGAGGCGACGCCTGGATGAGATGTAGATCTCAGACCCCCAGCGTATTCGCAGGCCGCCAACGAGGCAAACCTTACGATTAGGGCGCAAGTCAACACTATCACAAACATGTCCAGGATAAGCTGTGCAGATCTTCTGCGTCATCGTTCTCCACCGGATACAGGCCGAAGTTGAACAATTCAAATTGCACGCCTGCCTGTCGCAAATCACCGCAGAGTACAAACTCATTTCTTACAGAGAAAAGGGCTCGATATGCACCACCTTTCTTCGCACTCAACTCCCTGGGGATTGGACCCCACCAGCCTACCGCCAGAAAGGACTCGCATTACATGGCTGTCCATGATGATGAGGGATTGCATGAGAAGTGGCCGGGCAAGGCTGCCGGTCCTGAGAAGAAACTTAACAAGCCTACACGGCTGAGTGCGGCGACCAAGAGATGTCTCGAAGGCTAGTAAAAGTACCGATGAGGCAGAGGATGTAGATGTTCACTGTCAAAATAACGTCGAAAGCGATACCGATCTGCCTACCTGTCGTGGTACCCTTGAGGGCGATAGCCAGCCATCCAGCGTAGCCAGTAAGGGATGAAGAGTTGGAGAACAGCTGGCACGGTTATAGCGCCGGTGAGGACCAGAAGACGCCGGGTCCAGATTGCGCTGGAGTAATACTCTGCTGAACAAAATTGGCTGTCGTGCTACATTTCTTGTATAGTTCTCCGAGGCTAAGAGCTTCTTGACAGCGTGCGACTCTGTAGACACGCCAAGCGCTGACAATACATTGTTGGCCAAGTCCCGTTTGGCGAAAAGTGCGCGCGCAGGGCCTGAATGATGACTTTCGGGTGCACGTCTTCCTGGTGAAGTGGAACTCACATCTTCTGTTTCTGCTCACCTCGCAGCGCAATGCCACGGCTGCCGATCAATGTATGTTATTCCTCTGGCAGCTAGTCAAAGTCTTCTTACAAGTCGCAGACGTGTACGACGTCACTATTTGCACATTGTCTTCTATGCAAAAATTATCAGTATGAACCGCATATGACGTTTTCGTTTGTGTTGTTGGTGAGTCGTGGTGCTTGAGAACAATACGCAATCGCTCTGTCGGGTATGTGTATCGCGGCAGGGCTAAATAGGTGCAACCCAACAGGCCGGATCGCTACAAACCACCTGTTTTGCTCATATTTTTTCACTTGCAGTAGTCGGTTTCGAGTTCATAGTGACCTCGTCTTTTCCACAAGGCCCAACATTTTAACACTCCTCATGAAGTCCAGGAGCAGCCTTGGTCGCAGATGGGCGCGTAAGTCTGGCCTTGTTGATGGTCATATTCCCTTTGCCGAGGTTATCGGTCATGTACTCGATAAAACGCACCATGGGCCTAATTCACAGCCTCTCTTGAACAGTCCGAGTGGCTCGCCTAGCACTACGAGGGGAGGCACTCTACATACCCAGCCCATCTCATCGGCGAGTAGGTATCTGCCGATGCAGAGCTCCGAATTTGCGGACATGCGTCATGCAGAATCTTTGAAGAGTCGGAAGCATGCTCGGCGTCGGTGCTCTCGAGTGTGGCGGCAGCGAACTCCTCCAAGACACCATCCTTGCAAGGGATGGGATTCGTGGATATGCCTACGAGGCCCATCTGCGAGAGGCATTCGACGCATGCGCGAAGACACCTTTTAATATCTTCGCATACCTAGGATGTATCAGTGAGTATTTGAAAATCATTGCAATGGCTGTCAGTTCGCGTCGACGCGTCGCATGCCCGTGTCGATGATCAACGTACACAGTATGAGCCGAAATTCCCCATTTCCGGTCGTGAATAGGGGCAAACTATACGTTCTATAGAAACAGGCAGCTGATTTCTACATTACGTCGTGTGACGAGGGTGATGCCTACCACGTCACCAAAGCCCGCAGCCTCGAGCGCGCCCGCACCGACTTTCTCATCATCGTCTCCAACATCTGACACCGCGCCGCATCCCTTTGCATCCAAGACGTGGCGATTCCCGCCTGCTGCGCACTCGCGGACTCCCACCGGGGCGGCAATTACGTCCCAGGGGCTCAAGCAATGTCATGATGGTGCACAAAGGTGACTATGGGTATGCTGTATCTGTGAGCTTAAGGTGCGCGGGGTCCCTCGAGGTGGCGGTGCCGATGCTGATGGAGGCGGAGCAGACGCTTATTGGTGATGTGGTTTTTCAAAGAGATTACCTACTGGTAGTCCGAGACAGAGTCCAAAATAGTAACTGGATAGTATCGATCAGATGGTAAAGGACGATGGCGCAGAGAGTGTGAATCTGGGGGTTTGCTTTTGGTCAAGGAAGCATGATAGGCCGGCGGTGCCCAAGTTTGATACCTTCATGCTGCATGACAAGGCCGCGGCCCCCCTGCGGGCTGCTGCAGAAGTTGTGGAAACGTATATTCTCTGATACTTTTCGATGGCTGAGCAGAAAGGCTATATTGCATCACAAATGTGAGAAGGCGCCGCTTGTGGTAAGGCAACCTTTTGCCTCATCTGGTGGCCAACTGAAAACAAGAGCGGCAAGGTACCTGCGACTATGAGAATTACTTTAGTTGCTTCCTGACTCAAAAGTAGGCGAGACTATCTCAAAGGTTGACAATTGTGAGAGCTCGTAGACGTTGCTTCTTGCCGGCAACCTTGCGTGCACCACCCGTCAGCAATAGCCATACCCTTTCCAAGACAAGTCTGTCACACGCATCAATTCTTCCGGCGATTCAAAGCGGCTGTGCCAAAATAGAGTGCCGTGTTGCCTGATGGCGTTAATAACTAGTTGGCTGTCCTGGCGCGACTTGACTCACTGGTGAGTGACTCATTGACTGGGGTGGACAGCGCCAACATATGATTGCTCGCAATAGCAGCGCAAGGCTGCCCTTCTAGGCTGCTATCCATGAGGTGAATAATTCAGTATGAGATTCTAGATCTTGAAATACTCTATAAAACAACTTCTCCTCATCTTTTCTCTCTCATCTTTTCTCTCTCATCTCTCTCTTCTCAAGCTCTACGATCAGTCTCCCACCACAAATTTGCCACCTCGGCTTACACGCAGCTGTCACTTCGTCGATTACTCGAAATTGTGAGAGAAACCACCAACAAACCAAAAACCATTTACAAAAGCGTAATCCGCCATGACGACTCTTCCACCCTCGGTCACTGAGAACCGCCATATCCCAAACGCCCGCGATTCTCCCAAGCTATTATCCACCGACTCCTTGCAGTCGCACCCTGTTGCCTCAGCCGCGAAGAGCACCCCCTCGGGCAAACGCGGCAGCGTACGCCGCATGTCCAAGCGCGACCGCTACACGGCGGCCGACCTCGACGACGACATGGCGCTAGCCAAGAGCAAGGTGCGCATGCCCTGCGACGACAACAGCCAAAACACATCCAGGGCCGCAGCCGCGGCTACGACCGCACGCACCACACCCAACGTACACACGGAGTCGGCAGACAACATCGCTGAGAAGGCGCAGATTGCTGCGCTGCGCAAAGTCGGTCTGCTGTACGACGACGCGAGCCCACGCGACCGCCGACTTACCCTCGACAACATCTCGCACGACGAGCCAAGCTACGTGATTCGCCCCGCAAAGCCGCGGGCGCGAAAGCACGGTGGCACGGGTAGCGCCGCGTCGCCGAGTCTTTCATATTTGGACCTTGGCGAAGACGAGAGCCTGATAAAGTACGGCCTAGCACTGTCAATGTCCGAGGCGGACGCAGCAGATGCGAGTTCGACGCTCACCTCGCCGGCGTTGCGAGCGATCCAAGAGATGGGAGACGCCACTTTAGAGAGCTGGGTCATTCTCGATAACACGGACGCCTAATCCTGGAAAGCCTCGCGTTTCTGCCGAATCATTAGCATTGGAGTTTTGATTCATTTTTGGACAATATTCAGCATTCTATAGCGGGCTCCAGCTGATAGCGTTCAAATAGCTATATCGAGAATCAGGACCAGGCAGACAAGCGGTCGACTCGGTCGCTGCCTCAAAACTGTTAATGATGATTGAATGCGGTCGAACATTCACAGTGAATCTCGTCAACACTGCAGCGAGAACCTGTCATATTCATGTGGCTAATCTAATGTACATTGCTCGCGGGTGAATAATGCTTCTTCTTTTTCCTTTTTTTAAATTTGTTCTGCTTTGCCTCTTATGTCTGGGGCTCTTCGGCAACATAGTGCAGGTATGCGCCAAGCAGCTTGATGCCCTCAATGTAGTTGCGCTTGTCAAGCTTCTCGTTGATGGAGTGAGCGCCGTCAGTGGAGCTACCCATGGGCAGCAGAAGGACGTTCTTGCCAGTAGCCTCTTCAAAGGTGAGAGTGACGGGGATACTGCCGCCCTCACGAGTAAAGTCAGGGGCGACACCCCAGACGCGCTCGACGGCCTTGGCAGCGGCGGAAAAGTTCCAGTGTTTGGGCGAGGCAACCCACCACTTGCCGGCGTGCATACACTCGGCCTTGAGGGTATTCTTGCTGTTGAGCTTGGCGAACTCGTCCTGGATGTACTTGATGACAGCGGCGTTGGTCTTGTCAATGTCCATGTCAGGGACGGTGCGGATGGAGAACTTGCCAATGACCTTGGCGGGAATGACAGTCTTGGCGCCGGGGGAGGCAAAGGCACCCTCAATACCGTGCAGAGAGAGCGAAGGGTAGCGCCAGCGAGCCATAAGAGTCGGCTTCTCAGTTTCGTGGATGGTGGTTTTGCTGCCAAGAGATTCGTGCAGGTTGGCCATGGTGAAGGCGATGGAGCTATAGAGGGACTCTTCGTCGGCGGTGACGGGAGCAACCTGCTCGGAGATGCCGGGGATCAAGATGTTGCCCTTGCTGTCAACGAGCTTGCTGAAGATGTGAGCAACGTCGGTCATGGGCTCGTGGGCCTGGCCACCAAAGACGCCGCTGTGGAGATCGGCAGCGGGGCCGGAGACCTCGACGGAGTAGTAGTTGCAGCCGCGGAGGCCGTAGGTCAGGCATGGCTTCTCCGTTCCGAGCCAGTAGTTGTCGGAGATGCAGACGGCGTCAGTGTCGGCAAAGTACTTGCCGGCCTCGGCGCGGATGAAGTCGTCGAGACCCTCTGAGCCGTACTCCTCCATGCCCTCAAAGCACATGAGCAGGTTGACGGGGAAGTCGACCCCGGCCTTTTGGTGTGCCTCAATGGCGTTGAGCCAGCCGAGGACGGGGCCCTTGTCGTCGGTCGAGCCGCGGCCAAACATGCGGCCCTTGTCGTCGAGGGTCAGCTCAAAGGGCTCGGTGGCCCAGCCGTCGCTCTTGTCGGCAGGCTGGACATCGTAGTGGCCGTAGACAAGGATCGTGCGTTTGGCGGTGTCGCGGCCGTAGCGGGCAACGACGACGGGAGGCAGCTCGAGGTGCTCCTTGTGCGGCTGCTTTCCTAGCGGGCGCAGCTCGACCTCGGCGCCCAGGCTCTTGAGCTCGGCGGCGAGCCAGTTGCCCATACGGACGACATCAGGGCGACGGGCATCTTCGGCGGAGATGGAAGGGATGGCAACGGCCTTGCGCAGACGCTCAATGAAGGCGTCGCCAAGGTCGTCAACCTGTTTGAAGTATCCGTCGAGGTTGGGTGCCATTTTCTGTGCCTGGTGGGCTCGAATGGAGTCTGTGAGATAGAAACGGCGAGTAGTCGACAATGAGGGTATCCGCAACGGTGAGAAGTTTGATGATATGGACAGCAACGGGCGGGTAGAGGTGGTGATATGGCGGGGTAGAGGTTGACGACAGCAATCCACGGCAAGACGTGCAAGTTGAGTGCGGGGCATGTCGCCCTCCCTCTTTTCTACCTATGGTTCGCCAGCAGCGAGTGATGTAGGTTGGATTTCAATGCAGATGGCGGGGCAGAGACGGTTATTGACGGCAGCAGGCCCAATGAAGGACAGCTTGAAAAGAACTTTTGACTAATTGTTTTCCAAGCTAGGTAGACAAAGCCCTCTTTTCAGTAGTTACGGAGCAATCTCCTCTTGGGTGCAGCGTTAGCCTCCGTAGCCTCAGGTCAGCTCTGTCAAATGTTAGCTCTACCTACCTCCGACCCTCTGCCACCTCTTGTGGTTTCTTCCGTTCTCCACAGCCCCACCACCGCCATTGATAGCAATCTCCCCAGCGACCAGCTTCTCGAGATTATGGGACCGCATCTTGAGAACAGAAACAAGAAGAAATCGAGGGCTGCATCTTCAACGGCTATTCTCATTGATGATGATGGATCTGATGGTCCTCAAGATGCTCGCGTGGCGGCAAACGACTCGACTTACGTCAGGTCCTACAGCCGGGCTCTGTTGTTCAATCTGGCCTCCTTTATCCTCCCAGCTCTCTACAGCACCCTTTCCAAGCTGTGGGTAGCTCGCATCGACGCTTCCCTCGTCTCAACTACCGACACCTACACCTACATTGGCGTTGTTGTCGAAATCATCAATGAAGGACTTCCTCGCGCGGCCTGGGTCATCATTGGTGACAAGGCCTCGCGGAGTCTGGCCCAGCGCCTGGCCCTCACCCACACGCTCATACTCACGCAGGCTGCCCTGGGCTTCGTAATGAGCATCGCCTTTGCCGCTGCCGCCCCGGCTTTTGCCAAGTCCTTTGTTCCGGGCCAGATCCGAACCGTGAGCGTCTCCTACATACGAATCACCGCCTTTACGGCGTTGAGCAGCACTGTCGAGGTGGCCGTATCCTCTGCTACAAGAGCTCTGGACCGACCGGATGTTCCCTTCATCATCAGCAGTGCCAAATTTGCCATCAATATTGTCCTTGACCTCTTGATCGTTTCGCCATTCCACGTCGGGAACCACACGCCCTCGGTGCTGCATCAGGCTGCCATCCTACTCTCCTGTAACCTCGTATCCGCCCTGGCTGGCACAGTATACTTCCTCTGGCGCAACTCGCTCGTCGCATCTAGGATCCATAACTTTGGCCACAAATCAAGCAGACCTACGCCTCGGCTCTTGCTTGTACTGGCGCGCCCTGGCCTCTTTACCTTGATCGAATCCGCCATTAGAAATGTTCTGTACCTCTGGCTCGTCGCTAACATTGTCTCCATGGGATCCACGTACGCAACTGCCTGGGGAGTGTTCAATACCATCCGCTGGGGTCTGATTATGGTACCGGTCCAAGCCCTGGAACAGACATCGCTCACGTTTACCGGCCACATGTGGGGAGCCTTCAGAAACAGTATTGGCACGTCAACGTTGCAGCCTGTTGTCGACATTCGTACGGCTCTGTCTATAATGCGCCCAGCTGGGGCATCTCTTGTAATAGCCCTAGTCTTTGAGGTCCCAGTGTGTTTGTTCTTGTCCTTCTTTGGTGCTCGACCTTTTGCACGATATCTTTCCGGCTCTGATGATGTTGCCGACATCACAGCGATGATGTGGCGTACTATCGATTGGTGCTATATCTTCTATGCAATGTCCACGCAAATGGCTACCGTTCTCCTCGCAACAAGACCGCGCTGGTACCTATGGCAGAGTTTAGTGAGTAACCTACTCTATGTGTTGCCATGGGCCATAGTGTGTCAGACGGCCAACCTAAACGCTGAGCGGGCTTGGACATATCACTCTTTTGTTTTTGGCGGAAGCTTGGTGTTTAGTTTTGTCGACATTCTTCTCATCGACAGTTTGTGGGTTTGGGCCCTGAAAACCGGCAGGATGAAATTGGAGACCCTCAGGACATGAGCTGTTGGCACAACCTAGCGGCATGCTTCCGTAGGTAAATGTGGCCAATTCGAGAAAGAGATTTATTTCAAAGATAAGGTTCAAAGAGTTATCTTCGTTGGCCATAATTCGCATAAATATTATTATTGTTGTTGTATAACCCTAAGTAGGCTAAATAGCCTATCGAGTACCTCTGTAGTAGCAGTTTGCATGTATAACCCAGGCTGTGTACGCGTCAGGACCACAGGGTGTCTGTCTTGAGTTGTGGTTAGAAAAAAGGCCGTCATGTTTGGCCAAGTGCGCTCTGTAACCAGATCTGACTGCTAAGAAAAAGGGAAAAAAACTCGCTGGTTGGAGAAAATAAGGGTGGACCCTACAGTGTACGGCTGGTGAGTGCTGCTTTATTTTATTTCTAGGTTCTGCCCTGAACAGATTCGTTTCTTTAGTGATTTAGTTAGTGATTTAGTTAGTGATTTAGTCAGTGATTTACGATTGACAGCTCCGTCGACGGTGATGATTAGGGTCGGTGACAGCTTCTAGCGCCACTCAACGAATATTTGCACTCAACTCGGTTATAGAAGGCACAAGGTACTTTCGAGGTTTCTGCTTGTTTTGCGAGGCTTTGTAGGGTCACTTCTTGCTTCGTCCTCGCCATGCCATTTCGTGGTCAGGGTAGTGCGCATAGCTCCTTGGTGTCCTTGGTGACAAATCCATCTATTCCACCAGGCCCAAAGTTCGGGTCGCTCGGAGCTAGTTTTTCCGCTCCGGCCTCCTCTCCTAATTCTACGCCACTGACGCCTCGGCCTAAGTCTGCCCGCTGCGCCCGTCTTTCTCCTCATTTCATCTTCATCCACCACACTGTGCCTTTCTATCCCTATTTCATCAATCGATCTGCTGAGCTGTCAATAACGGCATACCCGACTGCTCTCAGTTGTCTTATTCGTCTTTTCATCCGTCTCGTAGCTCTCTTCGACACCTGCGATCGAGATTTTCCCGTCGCCCAGATTTTCGCTGCGTCTCTCGAGCCAGCTCATGTCGCTTTCGCATCAGTACACGATTAATAGATACTGAGATTCGCTAACAAGGTTGTTCGCTGGTGCCAGAGGTTTCGTGATTGCTTTTGATAGTAAGGAGGAATCTGGGACTGTTCGTTTCCTACTGGCTTCGGCCAAGTGTACTCATCGTCGTGCCCATTTTCCCTTTTCATTTGTCTCTTCTTTCAAGTACAATCAATTTATTATTTCCATTTGACCTGAAAAGGCGATTGAGTGCAAGAGAGGAACAATCAAAGAAACAAAGAAGAACTATTCCCTTGTCACAAACAAACTGATTCCGTTGCGAAGAAAGATCGATAGCTATTTCGAATTGCAGACGCCAATCCACCCTCCGGAAATAAACTCACCTCGACAAATCAAGTTCTCATTCGACACAGGGAAACATGGCATCTTCAGTCTTCTTCAAATTCAAGTCGCAGAAGGAGCCCACGAGGGTAGAGTTTGATGGCACTGGAATTTCAGTGTTTGAACTCAAGCGTGAGATCATCATCAAGAGCGGCCTGGGAGACGGCACAGATTTCGACCTCTTAATCTATACAGATGACAACAGTGAGGGTAAGTCTATTTTCGTTCCGCACAGTGGACGACAGCTAATTGTGACAGTCTACGACGATGATACAACGATTATTCCTCGGTCAACTACAGTCATCGCTCGACGCCAGCCTGCCTCTAAGCCTGGCGCAGGCAGAGCGGCTCGATATGTCACTGGCAAGATGCCCGTCGCGGCTAAAAATGCCGGCCGCAAAGAGCAGACTGCCAAAGTGTCGACATTCAAGGCGTCCGGTACTGCTCTCAGCCAAATGAACAATGCCATGACTGAGGAGGAAAAGATGTCCGCTATGTTCGCCGCTCAGACGGAACAATGGTCAGCGCAGCAGGAAGAGCTCTCTCAGTAGGTTCAACCCAGTCCTCTAGGCGATGCGAAATACTAACCGTTAAAAGCCAAGCACCTGTTTTCAAGCCCGGTGCCAAACGACCGGTCAATGTGCCCGACCATGAGCCACCGAATGGATATATCTGCTATCGTTGCGGTAACAAAGGTCATTGGATCCAAAGCTGTCCCACAAACGATGATCCCGACTTTGATAATAGACCTCGAGTGAAGCGTACCACAGGCATCCCGCGCTCGTTCTTGCAAAAGGTTGACAAGTCTGACATCCAGGCCCAGTCAGAGGGTGACGAGTCCAAGAGACCATCTGGCATCATGGTGAACGCCGAGGGCGACTTTGTCATTGCAGAGCCTGATAAGGCGTCATGGGAAAAATATCAAGCCAAAGCTGCCAAGTCGGCCTCGGCCTCGAAGGAAAATGAATCCGCCGACAAGGAGATTCAGGAGCGTGGATTGGAGTGTTCTATCGATAAAAGGATGTTCATAGACCCAACGAAGACGCCTTGTTGCCAAAAGACGTTCTGTAACGACTGCATCAGCAATGCTCTTATGGACAGTGACTTCGTCTGCCCGGCTTGCCGAACAGAAGGTGTTCTTCTTGATGACCTGCAACCTGATGAGGAAGCTTCCAAGAGTATTCGAGAATATTTAAAGGAAAAGGAGGCTGCCAAAGCCAACCCGTCGACTGCCGTCTCACCAAAGGAGGAGGCAAAGACTGACGATAAGGAAACAGATGCCACTTCTGCCGTTGTCGAATCACTTGAGACGCCCACAGATACTGGCGTCAAGCAAGAGTCTCCAGTCGGCGAAGTTGTGGACGTTGAAGTAGAGTCACCGTCATCAGACCGACCAAAGTCTCCAACACAAGACTCGGATTCCGGAAAGTCCCAGAAGAGCAACCCTGACAACAAAGATACTCTTGTATTGAAAAAGCGACCTGCGGACGAGCTGTTGGAAAATCCTAAAATTCCCAAAGGTCCTCGCGCCATGCAAAACCAACAAAACATGAACAGCATGATGAATGGTGGCATGAATGGCATGAACGCGATGAGTGGCATGAACGGGATGAATGGCATGAACGGTATGAACGGCATGAACGGCATGGACATGAACATGATGTTCAATGGAATGGGGATGATGCCCAACATGATGGGGGTGCCCAACATGAACATGGGTATGGGCATGGGGATGCCTAACATGGGAATGCCCAACATGGGGATGCCGATGATGGGAATGCCAAACATGATGGGTATGCCTGGGTTCAACGGTATGAACAATGGCTTTGGTGACGGTAGCTGGGGAATGGGCATGAATGGAATGGGCAACATGGGCATGGGAGGAAATATGAGCCACATGAATGGTAATGGCGTGTTCCAGAATGGTGGCAATGGCTTCCAGCAGCAGCAAGGCGTCAACGGAGGCGGCGAAGATGACGCTTACATGCGCAAGCCTATGAACCCCCATCGGCAGCAAAACAAGCAACGTCGCGTACGTCCAAGCGACTACAGGGAGCTCTAGAGGAGCCGCTGATTCTGGTGCGATTCTGCTCAAGCACGGCGTTTTGTTCTTTTCATACTTTTACACAAACTCACATATAAACACACGGGCATACGGAGGAGCATGGCGTTTTTTTTGGGGGGGGAAGGGAAATTTCCGGATGGGCTTGAGCGGTACGTGGTGTGCCGCCTCCGAGGTCATTCTACCTTGACAGTCTGCTCTGTTTTACAGCATGGACATGGCTCAACAAGAGGTGAACATTACTCTTGGGCCAGTAATCTTTCTATTACCAGAAGGATGACGAATAAAAAAAATTAACAAAAAGTCGAGAAATGCAAAAAAGATGTGCTTTCCCTTTTTCTTTGTCTCTTCAGATATTTTAGTGTATTTTTAAATTGACTTTGTCTATCGACCCTCGCCCAATGCTTCGTGAATGCTTGTCTCTTCATTCGTAAATCGCTCTCCAAGTAATGTCGACTCCAAACGTCAAAGTACCCATTTATTTCTACATTTCTTTTTTTTTTTTTTTTTTTCATGTTCATATAATCGTGGCCAAACTACAGCGACCTGGTTGCGCACCACTACTGTGGTGGAACGTAGGGGTGGACGAGCATTTCGCTAAACTTTTCCAGCTTGTCCTTTCCGCGGACCTCTTCGACGAGCAGGGGCATCTTGACAACGTTGAAGTCCTCGGCATAGAGCTCCTCGTACTGGTCGAGGTACTTTGTCTGCATCTTGCGGCGGGCGTTGCATTGATCGCAGGCGGAGCCGGCTTTGGGAAAGAGGAGTTGGTTGACGACGATGGAGTGGGTGTCGATGCCGTAGCCGGTGAGCTCCTGGATCATGCGCTCCGTCTCGTAGAGGCTGAGAAACTCGGCGATGCAGACGCAGACAAAGGTGGTGAGGTCGGCGTCCTTGAATTGAGTGTTGACCTCGGCAATGGTCTCGCGGAGAGACTCGAGCTTCTCCATCATGTCGTTGAGGTTCTGGCCGTTGGGGAGCTGGCCACCGGCGCCGAGGAAGCCGTTGAGCAGTGGACCGTACTGCGAGGAGAGCTGGGAGACCTTGGCGAGGGCCTTTTCGAGGACCGAGGGGAACTGTAGGAAGCGCAGGGTGTGGCCGGTGGGGGCCGTGTCGAAGACGATGGTCTCGTAGGAGAGGGACTTGACCTGCTTAAGGACCTCGGCAAAAGACATTGCTTCGTCGATGCCAGGAATCTTAACGGCACGCATGAGAAGTCAGTACGGAATATGTTTTCCTGGTGAAGGGGGGTAGAGGGCGGGGAGGGGAGACCTACAGCAAAGGCGAGGTCCTGCATCATGCCGCCCATGCCGCCGCCCATGGCATTGACGTCGTCCTGCTCGGCCTGGCCGGCCAAAAGGTCCTGCATGCTACCGTTGGGGTCAATCTCCATGGCGCTGAGATTGTCGAAGCCGTTGACGAGGCGGGCCTCCTTGCCAAACTTTTGCGAAAAGGCGTCTGAGAGGTTGTGGGCGGGGTCGGTCGAGATGAGCAGGACGGAGCGGCGGACCTTGGCGAGCTGGATGGCGAGCGAGCACGATGTCGTCGTCTTGCCGACGCCGCCCTTGCCACCGACGAAAATCCATCGCAGCGAGCGCTGGTCGAGCAGCGACTGCAGCGACGGCTCGAGCGCCTCGTCGGCGGAGATGACGGCGGAGGACATTTGGGAGGGGGGTCTGGCGACTGCAGCGGGGTTTTGCTGGCGAGAAAGACCTGCTGGTGGGAAAGAAGCAAGGGTGTTATCGGTATGGTTCGTGACGCGAGGAGAGAACGAGATTTGGATGCGAGAAGAGGAGGAAGAAAAGCGTCGAGGCAGTCAAAAGTTGATCGCGAAAGCAGTGTGACGTTTTGTGGGGGGTTCTAGAAATAGGTGGCAGCTGCTGCCTCGTCTTGTGCTTGTGTGGAGGGGCACCGCCTTTTGCCCCCTCCATGAATCACGGAAGAGAGCTAGAATTGCTCAACCGAGTTACGATTTTTTTTTTAAAAAGAAAAAACATAATAACACCTTTATGAAACATATTTAGCAGCAATGGGATTATTGAAAAGTTTTGTCAATCTGATCTAAGGTACAAAAGAAAAAACTATTGAAAAACGAGTGTAGATGATTCTTGGTATCGCTGCATTAACACGCCTTGATCCTTCCAGTATTAGATGACCTCAAGACGCGTGCTAGCTTTATCAATAATCGAGCACTTCTAATAGCCTTCATCTCGCTATGAATTTTACTCATCGTCAATTTCCATGCTCATTGAAGCCATAGAAGTAATGAAGCTCGGACGGAGTGGAGGGAGACTATGGCTTGAAGAGCTCGTGGCGGTAGAGGCCTCGGCGGTGACGGAGCTTGTGCTTGTAGACGAGACGGTGGCCAGAGAAGAGGTAGGTCCTGGAGCAGTGGTCGAAGTGACGGTGATGAAGCTTGGAGTGGTAGAGGTTGCCTTGGTTGAGGCTGCACTCGTGGAAGTTGAAGTCGCGTTGGCGGTTGTCTTTGGAAACACACCCCAGTCGGTAGCAACGCACTAAATGGGTTGAGATTGTTAGCCAGAAATACGTGAGCTTATAGTTCCATATAGCTTACCAAATGCTTTCTCCCCTTCACGGGATCGTGACATTTGGCCTTGATGCAAGCATAATATGTGTCCAGCCACTTTGGCACGGGGGCTACGGCGCAAATGTTCTTGCACTGCTCGCATGTTATGGGTTTGTCCAGGTCCCGCCATCCCTTGGTAAAGTGCTCTCGCAAAAAGGTAGGTGTGAACAGGATACGCGTCGTCGTCGTCTTTGGCTTCTTTGGCTTCTTCTTGGCCGAGACCAGGGAGGCGCACACGACAGCGAGGATAAGAGAAAGCTTCATTGTTTCCGAATAGACTTGTGCCTTGTAACGAAAAGTTCAATCGAGTCAAATTTGTTTGTTGGGTGTGAAATGGACAGGAGGATGTCCAAGAGGAGGACGCGTCCGACTTTTATACATGCGCTCAAGTATTGAGTTTAGTTATGCGAGGACGTATTGCGCCACTAAAGCTACTCCGAGGGCAAGGCGGTTTGGTGTTTATGTGTTGGTGTTTCCCCCGGCGTCACGAGACGCACGCCATGAAAGTGACACGCAAAGGTCGACAAAATAATCCTTAATAAAAAAAAGGTTATAGTCAGGATCGGTCTGGTGGGCATACACAATGTACGGCCCCCTCTACATGACGCAAAAGCCCACCTGGTTCGAGACCATGAACTACTTACTCACGAGACGGATAACATCCTTGCGTTTCCAAAAGGCACTAGTGAGCCACAGAAGGAGGCAAAGTTAGATGCAGCCGAAATTTCCAATATGCAATCGGCGTCTGCGTTTGTTTGGTCAGACTACCGAATGATCTGCTTCGAAAAACCAGCCACTCGCTCGACAACTTTGGGTCGTGGGCGCGGAAAGGGTGCGGGCTTGATTCGGATTACGCGAGGCCTGATCCTGCGCCCCAGTTGCGAATAGACTGATGGCAGAAAAAAGTATTCTTTCCAAGAGAAGTGTGTGAAAGAAGAGTCTCGCTTGCAAGAAGAAGGTTCGGAGACATGGTATCCTGAGACTAGGCAAACTCCATAAATGAATGCTACTTATTGCCGGGAACATGATCATCAAGTGATTGTCTAGTTTGTGAGTTCTGTCGTTGTGGGAGTACCAGAAAAGAGAGATGTTAGAAGCTATCTAAACGGGAAGGAAGGGAAAGAGGGGGGGGGGGGGGGG